AGTTGAAACCAAAACCTCTACAACAACACCAGAACATTTTTCCTAAACAAAATTTCTTCTACAATTTAACCGCTATCATTTTCTTAATAACATAATGATAATGTTAATACGAAAAAAAAATTAAACGAAAACAAAATTCTACCAAAAACTAGAACCTATAATTATAGCTCGAAGACAAACCCTCATCATCATCAAACAAATGTTTATTAAAAGTTTTTTTTTATATATAGATAAGAACCGAAATTAAAACAACACTCAACACCATTAAATTTTTATAATTAAATATTATTTAAGCGTAAATAATTTCAATTTAATTTTAATTTTATAATTATAGTTTAAATGTTAGTTTTTGAACTCTACTAAATTGCAACAAGTGGTTTTTTTGGGGATTTTTATTCACCTAAAACATGACACTTTGAAATAAAATTTCCATTTAAGTGTTAATAACTTAATAAATGTTATTTGTTGTCATTATTATTACTTAATATTTAAATTTTAATAGAAATGTTAATTTAACCCTTATTAAAGATTATATTTGTTGATTTTTTTTTATAATTAACAACTCATGTGGTTTGTTGTGAGTTTAAGGCATAACATTCAATCAATGTAATTTTTTTAAGCAAATAATGCAATATTTCCTTTTCTAGCAGTTTGTGCTAAAAAGGCCACCACAAACCCTTTTTTAAAACCTTTCAAATTGTTATCTTTAACTTTACACCAAACCATAAAATTGTAACAGTTACAAATATTTTTTTTTACAATTATTTGTTTCTGTTAAGGGTGTTAAATTTTCATTCGATTTATTTTCGCCAACCCTCCCTTTGACTTTTGTTTAGTTTTTCGGGTTTTTATGTCACTGTTTGATTTTTGTTGTTAATGCGCTTAAAATGTTGCTTGTTGATGTTGTTGGTCTCAAGCTGTTTTTATTTGGTTGTATTTAATGTTTTTTTTATTTTTCTAATGCTTAATTTAACAATTTTTATTGATCTTAAAGGCAAAAAGAAAATAAACAATCGGTCACGTACTTTAGGCAAATTTTTATTTGTTTGTTAATTATATAAGCTGTGACATTAATGAATAATAGTGTTTAACGATTTTAAAGGAAAAATAGGAAAAATTCACTTTCACAAATTTTAGAAATTTTAAGGTGATTTTCTTGGAAATTATTTAAATATAATTACAAAAAATGTATTTTTGTTTGCTAAACTTTAAAAAACCTGGTTTAACTAAACTCTGCTATTTAAAGTTTAACTAATTTTTGACAAATTTTTGCATTTGCTGCTTGCTTAAGTTATATTTTCTAAATTTTTGAAGTAATTTTATGTTAAACTTTCAATTAACCAGTTTAACTAAACTCGCTTAATTGAAGTTTAGCTAAACCTAATACTTGTTTTCAGTTCCTTGCTACTACTACTGTTTATTTATGTTTAAATTTTTATTAAAAGTAATATTTTTTTTGGAAAATTTCCCTCTAATCTTGTTTAAATTTATGGTCTCATTTGCTTAAGTTTAATTTCTAAGACCTTAGGTATTTTCCTTTCTGTGGAAATGAAATAAAAATAATTTCAATTTGCTCATTTCTTGAATTTTAATCCTACAGCTTATGAATGTTAAAAAAAAACAACCATAACGAAAACAAAACAACAAGAAAATAAAAACTGAATCATACTTTTAACGGGATACAGCTGGGATTCTTTATAATATTACTACCCTAAAAATAAAACCAGATACATTTAGTTAAAAAAAAAAAAAACATATAATAGAAAGTCTCTATATACAATGTATGGCTGTGTGTGAAAAGAGTACGATTACGTCAAAACAGACATAAAGCAATTCATCTTCATCCCTTGAAGTTAGACAACAACGACTACGTCGTCGACCACCGAAACAAATATGAAATATACGCATATTATCATATTTCTACACTTAAACAATAGACAACAACAATTATAAAGGAAAAGAATCTATATAAAAAGCCAAATAGGGTGTGTTCAAAATTTGTCTAAGCATCATCAAATTTCCACCTTTTCTCCAAAATAACAATCATTGACAGACAGACGGACGGACAGACAGACAGAGGAAAAAACATGTATTTTTGTTATAGAAAGTAAAACTGGTACTAGAAAAAACCATTATCAAATCGTACATATACAGCTTTTTTTCAAAATATGCTTGCATATGCTGTCTAAAATATTTTTTGGATATTATTCGTTTAAAAGTACCAGCAGCAGACATATGGAACTAAATAAATGTTACACTTTTTTCCCAGAGAAACAAGCATTAGCTATTGCAGAACTAAAAGGATTTGTACAAAATATAGTCATTAAGGCAATTGGCAATACTAGCTATAGAAATTTAGTTGACTTGACAAAACTTCAATTGCAGCAAACAAGGTTTTTGTTAAATTTTGCGAATTCAGTTTTAAAACAGTTCCTTACAACTTTTTCTTTTCAACAACACAAAATAACTTTTAATAATTTAGTTCTAGCAATTGAACTGGAAATAATAGCTATAGAAATTTAGTTGACTTTACATAACTTTAGTTGCAGCAAACATGTTTTTACTTTTAATAATTTAGTTCTAGCAATTGAACTGGAAATAATAGCTATAGAAATTTAGTTAATTTTACAGAACTCTAGTTGCAGCCAACATGTTTTTTGTTACATGTTTGCAAATTCAATTTAAAAGCACAGTTTTAAAATAACTTTTAATAATTTAGTTCTCTCGATTAAAAAATTTAGTTGCTTTAACCAAAAATTGTGTAAGCACAATTAAAATATACTAATAATAAATTTCTAGCCAAATCTTCGCTACTTAACAAATCCCTTTTTACAACTAATAAATTTTGTTTTATTTATTATTTTTTATCTTTTACTTAATTTGTTCATTTTGTCAAATTATATTAAATTATAATTAATTTGATTTTTATAGAAATCTGACAGAAATCATTGTTTAATTAAAACTTATCTATGCAAACAAATAATTTATCAAAGTTTATTTTTTCTTTCTTCTAATGTTTAAAAGTTTATCTCTTTGAAACTAAAGAAAGAAATAAAATAAAATAACAAAACATAAACATAAACACTGACTGACACACACACAAGCAGCTTTTAAACAAATTACTTTAAAATAATTTAATAGCCACCAAATGGCGACAAAATAATAAAAAACCAAAAAAAAAAAGAAATTAAACATAAAAATCATTCATAACATACACTATCATCTATCTACTATATATATATATATACAAAACTGATACGATTTTGGGGGTTTACAAAAGTATTGGTGTGTATCTGTATACACGTTTTTAGCAGTATGTATTTGTTTATGGACTTGAACACAGAATGTATCATTTTTATATGAATTTCGTTTGTTGTGTTGTATTGTTTTTTTTTATATTTGCCACCGACAATAAAATTGTCTGAAAATAAATGTGAAAATAATGAATAATAAAAGTCAAAGAATACATGATTTTTTTCCATATATATAAATTTTCAGTTCAGTTTTATGACGCACAAACAAAATACTCTACGTTTTTTAAACATTAAATACTGCTAGACGCGGTACTATTGTCTTTTATAACGAATTTATTTTGTATACAAATATATGGACCTTTTATGATTTTTTTTTTTTTTATTTCCAAAATAATTATAGTATTTTAAAAAAATGACAAAATTTTGCGTGCCTGAGAGTTTGAAAACCACAGACAACTCAATATTGTTAAAAGTTTGCATAATTTATATTCTTGAGATTAAATGCCTATTAAATTTATGATCTTATATTGTCATTTGTAAACATTATTTGCTTGATAGTATTTAAATTAGACAAAATGAACAAATTTGTAAAAATTATTAAAATTTTGTTTGAATGTTTTAAAGAATTTCTTCGTAAGAGAAAAAAATATCATTACAGAGTTTTATTTTTAATGACCTTAGTGCTCGAGTATTTTTTTAAACAAAAATATTTCTTAACGGGAAGTCTTTTTATGCCCACCATCAAAAAAGATGGGGTACACATCGAAATATTCGCCTAAGACCCATAAAAGTACATATTTATTCTGAGTCCTTATTAGATTCTGAGACGATCTAGCCATGTCCGTCTGTCTGTCTGTTGAAATCACGATAGGGACCACACGTGAGGAGCTAGACAGCTGAAATTTTGCATGAATATTCTCTATTGATAAGGTTTGTTTGGTATTGAAAATAGACAAAATCGGTCCACGTTTTCGCATAGCACCCATACAAGTGACTACCCCCCCTCCCCCCCCCCCGGAGAACGGTTTTAACAGTCATAACTGGTTTAAAAATTTTAGTATAGCAATTAAAATTCTACATAAATAAGTCTTATGATGATCGGTCCATAATTGACCCTATCCCCCATATAAGGTTTCCTTCGGAAAATGTCTTTCACGTTCATTACTAGCTCAGAAATGCGAGTAGAGCGATGAAATTAGATATAAACAAGTGTATGAGTTAAAATCTCTTTACTAACTTTTGTGAGGATCGGTCCATTATTGACCCTACCCCCCTTATAAGGTCCCCTTCAGAAATTTACTTTAACACTTCTGTGAGGATCGGTCCATAACTGACCCTACTTTCCATATTAGGTCCCATTTAGAAAATTACTTTAACATTTATTACTGGCTTAGAAATATGAATACAGCGATGAAATTCGACATAAACAAGTTTTATATGTGCCAAAATCTCTCTACCAACTTTTGTGAGGATCGCTAATTACAAGCTTAAATATACGAGTACAACGATGAAATTCATCATAAACAAGTTTTGTAAGAACCAAAATCTTTCAATCAAATTTTCTGAGGATCGGTCAATTTGTTTAAACTCAAATTTAATATATTATATTTATTAAAAAAAAGGTCAAAGGTCAATTTGAGTTTGAAGCTCAAAAAAAAGTTTTGTCTTTTAAAATTGATAAATTTCTTTAGTTCTAAGCCGAGTTTCTGAGTTTTTTTATAATAATTTAATAACATTTTCACTTACCAGGGTCTGATGTATCTAGGACAGGTGGTTGTTGAGATAAAGGACCAGGTGTACTACCAGCGCCCGGCGATCTAGCATCATCGTTCATGGCTCCTCCATATGATAATGATGAACTAGGTGGCCGCTATAAATAAAAATAATAGAATAGAAAATAAATTTATTAACTAAACTCTTTAAACAAAAGCAAATAAATTATTAAAGGAAATTAAAAAAATATTAAAAAATATAATAATATTTAAAAAATTCCCTTTATAATAAATATTTCTTACTAATTTAAAAAAGTTCAACGTTTGCTGCGTGTGTGATATATTTTTTTCTATATTTTTTTTTTTTTCAACAAAAATTAATATTAATTTTCGTACATAAAATTATTATTATTAATAAATTAAATTTATGGCTTTTGTACATTTATTAATATTTCTAATTTCAAACTTAATAAATTTAAAAACTCCCTCAAAAAATATAAACGAAGAAAAAAAAAATCAAATCAAAATTTATTAACAAATTTCAATTTAAAGGCCATTAAATATAAAATATTTTATTGCTGATTTTTTTTAAACAATATTTTTGTTGTTGTTGTTATTTTTAACAATTTAAAGCCGAAAACTGAACTGTCGGTGGTGATGTTATGATGATGATGGTTCGGGGTTTAACAGACGTTAAGTTTGACTGTCTGTTTTAATTTTTTTTTTTTGGACATTGTTGGTTGGTTGTTGGTATGCAAATGAAAGCACGTTTTGAATAGAGGTGTAATTAATATAATTAAAAATACATTATATACAAAAAAAGACAAAAAAACAAAAAGAAATGGCTTTTTAATAAAAAATAAAAAACACGGTAAAAACACAGCTTAGCTTTTATGAATTTCAATTATTTTGAAATTTTAATTCTTCTAACATATAAATAAATAAAGAAAAAATATGTCTGTACAAGTAGTCTTACGGTCGGCAAGACCGTGTGAGTGCTTCTTCACTGGTATTCTTTTGGCTTTATGCAAAAAGCCGCTTTTAAATGTCAAAATGTCATTTTATTATTTTTTTTATATATAATTTGTTGTGTTTTCTTTTTAATAATATTTCCAAATGCTAACTAACTTAGACGTAATAGAGTACGAGTGTGTGTCATTTTGAGCTGATTATGGAAAATGTTGTTAACTCTTAGAGTCTAGACTTTTTGTCTATAAATGGCAGTTTAAGCCAAATGTAAGAAGAAAAAAAGTGGTTAATAAAAAAGAAATTAATGCAGAAAATTAATAATATGTGTATGTTATATAAAAAGCTTCTAAATCTAAACAAAATGACAGCTAGAAAAAAAAAAAAAAAAAACAACCGTCGAGTCTGCCTGCACAAACACTAAACATAAATGTAACTTGGTAGGCATACTAATTTAGTTAAAATGACTACATACCTACTTGCTTAACAAAAACCAAATATGAATTATTAAAAAGGCTGTTTTTTAAAAAAACAGAATAAGACTCTTTTACTTAAGAAATTAAAAAAAAGTGAAAAAAAAAACAAATGTTTTTGTTTCATTTTGTCTGAAACCCTGTGGAGTTTAGCTCCTTTAACTAAATAATTTACGCCATTGCCAAAGGCTTGGGGAGTTTTATTTTGAATTTGCTGTGTATATATATTTCAAGTGTAATTGCTAATAATACTTAAAGGTTTTACTTATTGTTTATTTAAACAAAACTCTTACTTATAAGAGTTTCATTCCTTTAAGTGCGTGCTGTGAATTTTATTAAAATCTTGTTTATATAATTTTCTAAAATTTATTTATAAAGCTATAGTATGCTTAAAATTGTGCTTCATAACACAGTTGACATTTTCCCAAAGCCTTGAATTTTAATATAGATTTAACTAAAAATAACTTTGTTTATATTTGCTTTTTTCAAGATTTTTATTTTGTTAAAAAAAAACTCAGTTTTGTTTAATTTCAATTTATTTGTTTCTAAGTGTTTCTTATCAATATTTTCCTATTTTCTTTTAATTGCTTTTTTCCCCATATTCTCCCCTTTTTTAAGTGTTCTTATTCAATTGATTTCAAGTGACCTTTTTTGTTATACACTTTCTAGTTTGAAAATAATAAACAAATAATTAAAAATCTATATAATCTTTTTTATGAGGTATAAAATGATCTATTAAAATTTGACGGAAAAATGATTATTATTTAAAATATCAATTAATGGTGGAAAAAAATGTCTAGAACGAATAATCTATAAACATAAAAATATGCCATTAGGAATAAATCGAGAGTGATTAAAAACAATTTAAAAACACATTAAAATTTTTGTAATGTTTTCGAGTCTCAAGAAAAGAGGTGACCCTAGAAATAGCGCAATACAACATTTTATTTGAATATAATATAAAAATTAAAAAATTAAAAAGCTTTAAAAATTGGTAAAATTGTTTATATGTGAGACTGTTGGTTTTGTTACCCCCGGGGTTTTTTAGGTCTTTTGCAAGCCGTTCTTAAATTAAATAGTTAAAATTCAGGAAAGTTGATGAAAGTATTTATTTATTTAGCATTTGTTTTATAGGTTTTAATACTACTAGAAACCCAACTTGCAGTAAATGAAACCTTGGACCCCAGGGGACTCAAAGCCAGTTTTAAAAATCTTTCAATTTATAACTTAAATTTAAAACCTACCCCAAAATATAAAGCATAACTATTCCTTTACCCAACTAAACTTTAATAAACTTTTTCTTCTATCGATTCCATAACTTTATTGAAAAGCCATTTTGTTACTATTAAAAACAACAACAACCACAACACACAGTAATTTATTAAATAATGGACATGGTCTTTGAAAAAAAAAACTTTTTACAAAAGTTTTCTTTAAGATTTATTTTAACTAAACTTTTTCACCAAAAGACACAATAAAAACATTTAATTACATTTTACTTCCAATAAATTTGTAGACTTAAACTTTTTACACTCAATTACATTTTCATATTTAACACTTAAAAAAAAGTTACTTTTATTTATAACACTATCTATTGACCATTTAAGTACTCTAAACAGAATTTTCCAAACATTTGAATAAATCCGGCATTAATGACCAACCAACAACTTCAATAATATAGAGATTATAGCAAGAAAAAACAACAAAAACATTTCCCATACATTTGTTTATATGAACAGGGAGACAGACGTTTTTCTACTAACAAGAAAAAATGATTATAGTGTCTGTTCTATTTAAATAATAATTGTAAGGACCAAAATATTTAATGACCACCCTCTATACAAAAACAACAGCTCTCCTCATCATCAGACACTTGAACATAACTAAACAATCAAATTAACGTTAGAAATATTTTCTATATATTCCTGCACCCTTGTAATAAAAATACCAAAATTAAAAAAAATACAATAATTCCAAATCCCTTGTAAGTGTTTTCTAATGTTATTTGTCTTGTGTGTGTATGTGTATGAGTGTGGGAAGATGAGAAAGAAAAACAAAATTATTCCAAATAATTTCTCTATTTGATTTTTTGATGTCACTTACACATCACACTCAACATACATACCATTATTCAGTCAGTCATTCGTCCTGCCCCGGACGTCTGTCATTTAGTGTAACGTCTAATTTTTCAGGTTGTTGGTACGTCGCTCTTAAGCTTAAATCCCTGTGGGTATTTGCGTATGTTAAAGTATAGCATACCCCACACTCAGTAGTGTCTACTTTCAAAAATTTCAAGTTTATATGTAAAAATCACCCTCCAGATCAGTGTAAAGTGACTGAATGTATGTTTTCCGAGGACTTGTTAATTTGTTTGTATTTCTGGTATTATTTGTTTGCTATTGTTGTTGGTGTTGCCTGTATAATTGTAGTAGCAGCGTTTTGTGGTTCTTATTGTTGTTGATTTCAAGTATGTTGTTATTATTTTACTTTTTTTTCTTTCTTTATTCTGGGAGTTAACACCCAGACATTCGTCAAAAAGGAGGAAAATTGCAGCAGGGAATTTTAGTTTACTACTTAGTTGACTGTGAAGTATGAGAGCGTGGTGGTCTGTGTGTTTAATAGAAAACAAAGCATGTTTTGTTAAATAATTTCACTGGGATTTTCGGTTTTTACTAGGTTTAGGTTTTATAATTGGCTGGTGTTATTATTAGCCAAAGTTGCAGGGCACTAGAGATCTAAAGATTTCCTAATGTGTAATCAAATTTCAAGGGTTATAGAAATTGGTGGGAATTGTGGGTGTTATTGTTATGATTGTAGAGAAGTCACTGAATTTGCTGACTATGTAATTTTAGTTTTTTTTAATTAGTTGACAGTTATGTGAAAGGGGGGTTTCCTTGAACTAGGAATTCGCATCTTTAAAGAACCCTTTCTTAAATTACCATGAGAAAAGTTTTACTCTCGACCTACAAGTCTTAAACTTTTAAATCCAATAGATTTTTTTAAGATTTTATCAAAAGCCTCAAAGTTTTTCCAAACGCCTTAAAGTAGGCAACAGAAATTGTAGGCTCCAATATTGGCAGCAACTTTTTAAGGTAAATATAACATAAATCTAAGGGATTTTTTATGTCATTAAAGTTTCAAAGAGTTTCAAAACCACCTGCTTTTTTCAACTCCTTAAAGTAGGCAATGAAAATTTTCAATTTTATACTTTAAAGGCCTTATTCATAAACAAAATTTATTTATTTTATAAACGATTTACAAATCAAATTTCGTTTGAAAATTTTGTTTTATAAACCTTTTATAAAATAAAATATTGTTTATGAATAAGCAGGTAATTATTTAGTATAATTTTCTTTTCAAACATTATTTAATAGAAAATTATAAAAAAAATTCAAATAAAAATTATGCTTAAACACATAAATTTTTAATAAAAAATTCAAAGATGCGTTTAAATTTTTAACATTTTTCATTCATTCATTTTCATTGCTTTCATTTTTATTTTTTAATTATCACAAGTTTTATGAGTATTTAACACACTCTTATGAGTTTTTATAGAGCGCAACATGCAACACCATGGAATATGATAGATTTACAACAACAACAAAAATATATAAAAATTTACAGCATGTAATGATTTGTAAAAAAAAGTAACGCATGATTTAATATATAAAAAAAAAATTTAAATGAATTTGAAATTGTACAAAAAAAAAATCCTTAAA